TTTGCAGAATTTTAAAATATTGTGTGCAGAATTTTTTTTGGTGCAAAATATTAAATTTTTTTGGTACAGAATTCCCTCAGGAGTAATGAATATCACACAGAGTGCTCTGCATTCTGCACTGACCAATAATTGAATTCATATCCATTTTGAGGTCCTTGAGTTCCTCTTGAAAGCCTTGAAAGAGTTAGGGTCATGTTGAGTCAGGAAATGTCTGTCTCTTTGCTCCCCAGTCTACTTGCTCCCTCAGCAGGGAAACTTCATCTGACCGAGTCCAGACTTCAACTTGTGATTGCCAGGACCCAGAGTGATCTATATGAAAGGCCTTCAATTATGGAACGAAATTCTGCAGCAAACCAGATGTAATAAAGGTGTAACACATAGGAGTACTGGTAAAAGGCTGATCATTTCCTGGTCCCATTCACATGACAGCTCAGGGTTGCAAAAGGCTTTACCACTGTCACATGGCAAGGCTCCAATAAAGCTGTTTACATCATCATCATCATCATCTGCCAGGAATCTGTTTGCTCGCTCTTCTGGTGGAATTTATTGTCAGAGAAGACGTGGTCATGTATTACTTCCTTCAGGGCATGAACATTTAGGATGTTTTGAAGAAGGAGAGAGCCTCGTTGGTTTTGTTTAAATATTTTCAGTTTCTCCCGCAGGACTGACTTTTAAGGGTGGCTGTGGAATATAGCCTTGGTGCAAATGTACAGTATCCCTGTGAACTTGGCTTGTTGCCAGCCACTATATTTGCAATCCAACATTCTCTCCTACTTGCACTGTGGGCAATGGTTTCACATTCCTGTTGTAAAAAGAACAGGAGTACTTGTGGCACCTTAGAGACTAACAGATTTATTAGAGCATAAGCTTTTGTGGACTACAGCCCACTTCTTTGGATGCTGTAGTCCACGAAAGCTTATGCTCTAATAAATCTGTTAGTCTCTAAGGTGCCACAAGTACTCCTTTTCTTTTTGCGGATACAGACTAACACGGCTGCTACTCTGATTCCTGTTGTAGTATTTCTTCTGTTCCAACTTCCTGGCACATAGCTCATTTGTAACTACTTCAGGGTTAATTATGTTTGGTTCAAACAGATTGGTGAATGTTGACACTGAAGTTTTTGTCCTGCTCATGAATCTCTGAATTGGTTAGTCTAGTGAAGTATATTTTGATATTCTAGCATTACCAAGTATAGATCTGCAATTTACAGTATGTTGCTACAGTTTTACTTGATGTTTTCTGCACCAGTTCTATTTCAAAGAAATTTGAGTAGTAGTCTACTATTAAAAGACAAAGTTTCCAATTTAATTCAGAAAGATTTGCTCCAATCTCAAGTGGTTTCAGACTTTTCTTTTGAATCCTGTTTTCCTAACAGTATTGCAGATTTCACACTTTGGATAGGTTTTCTTTGATGGCAGCATTCATATCAGGCCAGAATAGAACTGTTGCACTTTCTAACACCCATACAGGCACTATGGATTATTCTTAGCATTTCTAAATTCATGGTGTGTGGTATTATGATATCATGAACTTTGTACAGAATCTCACCATATGCAGTAATTGTACCATTATAGCCCTAGTACATGTTTACGGTTGGAAACATTAGGGCTTTTTCTATTGACCATCAATCTAGAATTGCTTTATCAAGCTGATTGGGTCATTTTGCATTTCTTGTCTGAACTTCTGAAATTTTGTTTGAGAAATGGGTGGTGAATAACATCCTGGGATTGGGGCTGTCTCTTTTTGTTTATACAATGCCTAGCACAGTGGCACCCTGGCCTCTACGTACTATCACAATACAAATAATTTCAAACTTCTCTTTCAACAGGACTTTGTTCTCACTATTTATAAGCACTCTTGTATTTCTAAGAAGCTCCTTTCCAAGTCTGTATCTCACAGTTAATGAGTATCTCTGTAGTTTCATAATTTTATTTTAAGTCTAAGAATTGCTTTGCAGGGCGGTTTCTGCAAATATTGAATTGATGTTCATTAAGTAAACACTGGTCAGTCTGTGCACTGAATGAGGTAGGGTGAATATGTATGTGAACATGTAATTAAATACGCTATAGAATGATGTATATGCACAAGACGACTGAATTATGGTTGCACAGACAACTTGTCCCAGTCCTATCTCTTTCCCCACCCCGGCTCCTTGTCCCAGTCCCATTCTCCTCATCTAGCCATCCCAGTCTCCACCCCTTGGGCTTCTCATCCCAGTTGGAATCTCCCCTTGGGGTTCTCTGTCCCATTCTTCTTGCCCAACCATTCCTAGTTCCCTCCACCTACCTGTTTTCCACAAGCTCCTTGCCCAGACAGTCCCATCCCCACCTTCCAGTTCTTCATCAGATATCTCCCCACAACTGGCCTTCAGTTGCCCCCACCCACAATTCCCTGTCCTAAGTGACTCCTAATACCAGTCTCTCTCCCCAGACTCCTAATCTAATCAGTCCCCCCCCCACACACACACACACACACACCC